TTGATGCAGACAGTCCTGAAAACTAGTTATTTAGCTACTGAAGGTTTACCTTGTAAACGGGAGAAGCGGTTGGCGCACCTTGCCCATAACAAAGATGTCGCCTCATCGGCGTCGTACTGCCCCCGCTCCTATGCGTGGGCCGTACGTCCGCCCTTCCCTGAGTCACATGACCACAAACAGGCCTCAACTACGGCTCCTGGGAGGGGCCATTCCCGGAAGTTCTCGCGTTTTTTTCCCGCCAGCTGCGGGCCTCTCTGGCCGGTGATTTGCCCGGGCGCCTCAGTGCGCTCGGCCAACGGTCCCTGACAGCCCTCACCGGACCGACCCGGGAGGCGGCGGACGGCGGTCCTCTCCAGGGACCTTCAGCGGGCCCAGGGGTGAGTACTGACGTCTTCCCGACCCGGGACCCGCGGCCCGAGCCGGCTGCCGGGCCTAGCGCCGCGGCTCTGACCCTCCGTTGATGGAGGGACCCGCTGCGGCCCCGGCCCGTTAGTAGTGTAGTCGTGGCCGGAGGCCCGACCCCAGAGCCTCTCTTCAACCCTGGGCTTTCCTCCCCCTTAGGGCGTCCTGAGAGCTTCAAGCGCGGTTTGGCTGGTAGTCTTCTCTCATCCTTCTCAGCCAGGGTCCTGGTACCTTTTAGTATGACCTTGAACCCGATGCCCGCCGTCTTTAAAAGTAGTTTTTGGTTTGTTTTGTCTTTACTTTGTGGAAAAGAACGTGTTCGAAAAGAAAGGCCTTGGAAGCCCAGGTACCTCGGGGAGGCCCCTGGTCGGGCCGCTGTGTAAGCATCCTTGCTCGCAGATGTGGATGCCCGGAGATGCTCCTAGATTTCATTCCAGGAGCTAGGAAATGGGGATAGCTCGGATTCCCATTCCGACAAGCCTCTGACCTTCGTCTGCAGGAGGAGTTCCGCTTATATGGTATTTAGAAGAAAACCCGCGGGTGCGGCCTACAACTTTAGAGCAGGGGGCATTCTCGAGGGAGGGGAATGCTTTCAAAAGTGGTGGCGTCTTTTAGTTGCAGAAGGTAAAAGCTTTAGGGCCCTTGTTCCCAAGTATAGAACCAGTTGTTTACAGGCCTCTCACCCCACTGAGAGACTTTAACTGAAGGATTTTAAATGTTTTCTCTCCCTAAATGAAAAACATTTGTTTCAGTGTCTGATATCCCAAAGGGAAAACCCTGAGGAAGATAGATTCAGAAACAATTATAGAGATTTAGTTGTACCTAGTAGTCTCTTCCCCTGTAATTAAATTGTGGGTGGGACCTGCTATCTATTTGGTTTCAAGCACTCAGTGAGTTGGTTTTGCTGGGTTTTTCCAAAAGGAAATTGTGTTTTCTATCCTTTCCTGTCTGATAGGGCTGCCTTATTTTATGATTACAAAGTTTAGCTGTTACTGTCCTCCCTTCTTGTGTTGAAACTTGTTTTCTGTGGCTTGATAACCTTATTCTAAAATTCGTTAATTTGTATTTTTCCAAGTTTTCAGTGATTTTTCTTTAAAAATTAAAATTAATCCTGGGTTACTACACGGTGATTATCTAATACACCCATTCTTTAAGTATAGTTGCTTGAAAAGAGAACTGAAACAGGGTGACTGTATAAAAGCCTTGAACTAGGTCCACATAATAAGCGACAAACAACCCAACATTTTTTTTGGTAATTGGAGAATTATATAAATCTTTGCAACCACAGTCCATTTGACCCAGGTTATTTCTGTGACTTCCTGGGCTACTTCTTTGCATCCCAGTGTTCTAATATAGAAAATAAGAAAGTCAGGCTTGAATCTTTGTGTCCCCAAATTGGGACACTTTCCACGAGTGGGATGTGACTTGACTTTAGGTGGTTTGCAGATGAGGGTTTTTTGTAAGAGTTATGTTTTTGTTACGTGTCTTTATATATGTACATTAAGTCCATGGTTTAAAAAAGTAATGGAAGGGTATTCCCTAGTGGTCCAGTGGTTAGGACTCAGCACTTTCAAAGCCAGGGTCCCGGGTTCAATCCCTGGTTGGGGAATTAAGATCCCTCAAGCTGCATGGCCAAAAAATAAATAAATAAAATAAAATAGTAATGTAAAATTTCCTTTTAAAATACACCTAAGATTTTTAAAAATTGAGTTAAAGAAAGATTAAGTATAGCTGAGCGTAAACGTACTGTGTGAGTATGGAAAAAAAAGCATGAAGTTGGTAAGTTACTGATCGTTGGGAACCACCGGGCCTAGAAAGTAGAGATATAAGATCATCTATGATTCTGAGACAGATTTTTGTCTCCTTAGTTATATCACAGAGACTCATGTACTTGTTGCCTAGTAGATTGTAAGTGACAAAATTGGAGTTAATATCTTAACTCCAAATGAGAAATTTATTTTCTTTATTGCCAAAAGATATTTGTCACAGTCTAATGAGGGAGAAAAAAATTAGATTTTGATCTATTTTACTTAAGCAGAAAAGCCAGTAATTGGAACAGTACAATGTTAAATCTTAGTAGAAAAGTTCCATCTACTTTGTCAGTAGCTCAGATTGGCTACAGAAGAATTTGACTTTTTCAGAAGTTGTCTTTTTTGTGTGTGTGTGTGGTACACGGGCCTCTCACTGTTGTGGCCTCTCCCGTTGCAGAGCACAGGCTCCAGACCCGCAGGCTCAGCAGCAATGGCTCATGGGCCCAGCCGCTCCGCGGCATGTGGGATCTTCCCTGACCGGGGCACGAACTCATGTCCCCTGCATCGGCAGGTGGACTCTCAACCACTGCGCCACCAGCGAAGCCCCAGAAGTTGTCTTTTCATTGTACACCTTTGTGATCTAAGTCTGTGACACTCTGCAAACTCAGAGAGTCTTGTAAGAGAAGACGTTGCTGTAAAATGAAATGTTGAGACCCATGGGATGTGCTAGTGGAAAGTTAATAAGGCTGAAATGTAGTAAATGGAATGTGGAGAATAGCACATTTCAGGGAGATAATGTTTTTCTAGCAATTGCATCCCTTGTTTATTATAATAAAGTTTCAGTTTATAATGTCCCAAGGCTATACTCCTTTTGAGGTATCTCTTTTCACTGTTTTAACTGTAAGCTTTTACTGTGCTTCAGATATATACACACAATTATAAAAAGAGTATCTCATTTAGAATGATGCACAGAAATTGATGAGAGATTGCCTATGGGGACCTAGGTGGTTATAGGATAGGATCTGGTGGGACACTTTATTTTCTTTGTGCATTCTTTTTTTTTTTAACATCTTTATTGGAGTATAATTGCTTTACAATGTTGTGTTAGTTTCTGCTGTATAAGAAAGTGAATCAGCTATACGTATACATATATCCCCATGTCCCCTCCCTCTTGTGTCCCCCTCCCACCCTCCCTATCCCACCCCTCTAGGTGGTCACAAAGCACGGAGCTGATCTCCCTGTGCTATGTGGCTGCTTCCCACTAGGTATCTATTTTACATTTGATAGTGTATATATATGTCAGTGCTACTCTCTCACTTCGTCCCAGCTTACCCTTCCCCCTCCCCGTGCCCTCAAGTCCATTCTCTACGTCTGCATCTTTATTCCTGTCCTGGCCCTAGGTTCTTTAGAACCATTTTTTTTTTTAGATTCCATATACATGTGTTAGCGTATGGTATTTGTTTTTCTCTTTCTGACGTACTTCACTCTGTATGACAGACTCTAGGTCCATCCACCTCATTACGAATAACTCAACTTCATTTCTTTTTATGGCTGAGTTATATTCCATTGTATATATGTGCCACATCTTCTTTATCCATTCATCTGTCGATGGACACTTAGGTTGTTTCCATGTCCTGGCTGTTGTAAATAGTGCTGCATTGAACATTGGGGTACATGACTCTTTTTGAATTATGGTTTTCTCAGGGTATATGCCCAGTAGTGGGATTGCTGGGTCGTATGGTAGTTCTATTTGTAGTTTTTTAAGGAAGCTCCATACTGTTCTCCATAGTGGCTCTATCAGTTTACATTCCCACCAACAGTGCAAGGGGGTTCTCTTTTCTCCACACCCTCTCCAGCATTTATTGTTTGTAGATTTTTTGATTGTGGCCATTCTGACTGGTGTGAGGTGATACCTCATTGTAGTTTTGGTTTGCATTTCTCTAATGATTAGTGATGTTGAGCATCCTTTCATGTGTTTGTTGGCAATCTGTATATCTTCTTTGGAGAAATGTCTGTTTAGATCTTCTGCCCGTTTTTGGATTGGGTTGTTTGTTTTTTTGATAGTGAGCTGCATGAGCTGCTTGTAAATTTTGGAGATTAATCCTTTGTCAGTTGCTTCATTTGCAAATATTTTCTCCCACTCTGAGGGCTGTCTTTTCATCTAGTTTATGGTTTCCTTTGCTGTGCAAAAGCTTTGAAGTTTCATTAGGTCCCATTTGTTTATTTTTGGTTTTATTTCCTTTTCTCTAGGAGGTGAGTCAAAAAGGATCTTGCTGTGATTTATGTCATAGAGTGTTCTGCCTATGTTTTCCTGTAAGAGTTTTATAGTTTCTGGCCCTACATCTCTGTGTGTTCTTGTGTACTTTGTACCATGTGCGTGTGTTACTGGTTCAAATTAAATACCAAATTAAAGTTGGGAATGAAATGAAACAAATATGAAATTAAATACTGAATGAAAATAGCTGGATGAAAATTTAGCCAATGCATTTGCTCCTCCTTAATTTGTGTGTATATATATACACTTATATATACACTTATTTATACACATAAGTATTAAGATTCTTTTAAACCTAAGTATTTTTCATCAGGTATGTTTTCCTTTGTTTCAAATCAGAAACAGTGATTGTCTTTTATCTTGCATTAACTAGTGAATGGCTGTAGGGTTCTGTCTCTAGGCCTAAAATTGGTGGTAAGCTTGTTCATTTTTTCTTTATTTATTTTACTGGTTTTTTTAAGGTAAGGTTGTACATCTTTAGTGACTTTCATTATTTGGAGTATTTCCAGCAATGAATCCCTAATGGTAGTATCATCTAGTTTTTCAGTTAGCTCCTGTTTTTTCTCCCCCAGGGACAAAAGTGGCTCTAAATCCAGCACATGCATATTGAAGCAAGTTAAAGGATTTAATATGAAGCACAGAAACAGATAATGCCAAAAAGCAAGCAGTAGTTGGTACACTTTTGTGAGTAAAAATTTTCTTTTGGCTCTGTTTTCTTAGTCTTTAAACCATTTGCATGCAAATCCTGAAAATTGACACGTTTTGGTAAAGAATAAAGGGTGCAAGTTAGCAGTCATAAGTAACCATTTATCAGGGCTTAGCCCCTTAGCAACCTCTAAGAACCCTCCAAAGCATGTCAGTAAGGTGGAGTTTAAAATGTGTGATATATCTCTGACATGGAGTTTAAGAAATGTCCCAGCTATGGGTTACATTTATACTGTCTTTAATTTTTTATTGATCTGGATTTATATATAATATCTTCTGCTGAAAATGTAGTGTAATTTGGTTTTCAAAGTTATTTCCTTTTAAAGAAACCATTACTTATACATCAAATATTAGGTTACTTCAAATACATTTTTCTGCCCTTTACATTATTTTCATAATTTTTTCATTTGTACTTAGGCTGAAAAAGAAAAGGATATTTTCCCCCTTTAGAATATAATAATTAGAGGAGTTTTATGGCAAAGTGTTTTCTTCTAATCTGACTTCACATTTGTATATACATTTGATTAGCTTTTCTTTGTCCCGTTTGCAAAATCATAATACAGTGACTATGCTTAAAACAGTCTTTATATTTTTTTGAGGTATAGAATAACTCTTTTTAGGAGAGATTTGAAAATTGATTTTGGTTGAAATCCAAAAATAATTTTAAGTAGATATTTACTTTTATTGATAGTTTTCTTATGAAATGAATTGTTGAAATACTGATTTTTATTCTTTCTTTTTTACAGCTGGAAAAGCAGTTTCCGTGTTGTTATGTACACCTCCAAAAAAATTCAGATCTTTAGGGGAATTGTTGTGTAAAGTAAACTGAACTACAGGGAGGCAGTACTTTAATAGCTATTATAAACGTGTATTTACTGTATTAAAAATGAGTAAAAGAACAAGCAATGACACATCACTAGGAAGGTCAGTGACATTTTATTCAGTTGAGCTGGCATTATAGGTTTGAGACATAGTTGCTTTCAAGCTGATTGCCCATAGGCTAATCATGTTCTTTTACACTTCTGTCAGCATTTTGTATCGTGGGGCAACTTCCTTTCTGCTGCATTTCCCTGGAGCATGGATCCTTCTCTGATTTAGGTTTCTCAATGCATTTGTCCTGTCTTTCCGTTTGAAGGCATGTCATGTTTTTTAAAAATATACATGTAAATATGACACTGAGTACAAATTAATAGTGTGAAACTTTCACACTATAGCCCCTCAAAATGAATGCAAACATTAAGGATTTATTAGTATATATTCTGTATTTGGTATTCATTTCATCTCAGTCATCAGATATACATTCAGTAAGAGAAGTTTTAATTTTTATTTTGTGAAATTCAGGGGGTTGCTTCTTTTTTAGTAAATTTAGAATTAACATTATTTACCTTATGAATCTGATTTTCGTCATTAAAAGGTTTTATTTTTTCCATGCATGACCAGAATTTCTAATTTCATTTTTATAAAGTTCTAGCAGCTTCCCTTCATATAATTCATTAGGAAATTTCTATTTAAGTTTTATTTTAGGCATTTTTGGGGTTATGAAAGCAGCATGCATATCTCTTTATGCAGAGAGGAAGAGAGTGTATGTGTGTGCACATTCGTCTTGTGGTTATACAATAATTTAAAAAATTTGCTCCTAAGCAATATCCTCAAGGTGCAGTTTCAACTAAGTGAGAAGGTATTATGTTGAGGAGAACATTTTCTTCAATCTTTTATTTTTCCTTTGGATGTATTCAGTACTCACAAATGAGAAGTCTCCTTTGCTCTTTCTAAAAGGTATTCTAACTTCACTACATAGAAAAGACTGACATTTTAACACTCAGTCACCCCTGTCTAAATTTTTTGCCCACAGAGTGAGTGGGGCAGCATTTCCTTCTCCCAGTGCTGCTGAGATGGCAGAAATTAGTCGAATTCAATATGAAATGGAATACACCGAAGGTATTAGTCAGCGAATGAGGGTCCCGGAAAAATTAAAGGTAGCACCACCAAATGCTGACCTGGAACAAGGATTCCAAGAAGGAGTTTCAAATGCTAGTGTGATTATGCAGGTTCCAGAGAGAATTGTTGTAGCAGGTATTTTATATTTGTTTATAAAGTTGCCTGATAAATGTATTTTATATATTTTTATGAAAACTTTTGGGATTTTTCAAAATATTACTTAGAAAAGGGGTTGGGAAATGCAACTTTACATTTTCTTCGCAAAGTTTATAAATTGCAATAGTCTGAAATTTCAAGTAATATTTTTTAATAATTCAACTAATTATTGAGATATAATTTACATACATAAAATGGTGTAATTTTAAAGTGTACAGCCTGATGAGTTTTGACAAATGTATACTCCTATGTAACCTCTACCACAGTCCAGATATAGAACATATTCATTACCCACCAAAAGGTTTCTCATTCATTTCCTACCCCTCAATTCCAGGCAACTATAATCTCCTTTTTATAACCAGAGATCACATTTGTCTTTCCCAGAGTTTCGTATGAATGGACTGATACAGTATATACTCTTGGGTCTGGCTTCTTTTGCTTAGTGTAATGTTTTAGAGATTCTTCCATATTGTTGCTATAAAAGTTGTTCATACCATTTTATTTCTAATATTCCAGTGTGTGGATAAACCACAGTTTGTTTATACATTCACCTGTTGGTGGACGTTTGGGTTGTTTCCTTTTTGGTGCTATTAGGAGTAAAGCTGCTATGAAGACATGTGTTTTCATATATCTTAGGAGTGGAATTGCTAGATCATATTATAAGTTATGACGTTTAACTTTATGAAAATCTGTCAAGCTATTTTTGAAATTGGTTGTACCCTGTTATATTCCCATCAGTGACATATGAGAGTTTCATTTGCACTCAACAACACTTTGTATTGTTAGTCTTTTTAATTTTAGCTATTGCTAGTGGGTGTGTAATGGCAAATACATTTTAATAAAACCTATGTCTTTTAAAAATCTCCCTCCTTTCCTTTTTTTTTTTTTCTCCCCCTACGCTTAGGAAATAATGAAGACATTCCATTTTCAAGGCCAGCAGATCTTGACCTTATACAGTCAACTCCCTTCAAACCTCTGGCACTAAAAACACCACCTCGTGTACTTACGCTAAGTGAAAGACCACTAGATTTTCTGGATTTAGAAAGACCTCCTCCAACCCCTCAAAATGAAGAAGTAAGTGCTAGAGTTTTAACATCATCTGAATTTGAAATAATAGAGACAGAGGCAAAAGTTAAAGAGGAGTTAAGAGGCTATAAATCATATCATTGGTAATATGTAATGGAATCCTTTTGCATGGAACATTGATTACTATAAATTCTGGCTTATGAATACCCCAAATGAGATACTATGCTGTTGGTTTTTTTTTTAATTTAAATATTATATTTCAGGAAAATGACAATTTTGTGGAAATCATTAACATTCATGTGGTCTTGAAGGATAAGCTTTTATGGCTGGGAGTTACACTTTAAGCAATACAGAAAAATTTGGGAAGTTTAGCATGGGAAAAAATTAATGCATCACTTTGTTATAAAAGCAGTCTGGCAAATGGCAAAGAACGCTCTTTTTTCCCCTTGATACTACCTATTCTCCCTGCTTGCTGAAAGGTTTCTACTGAGTTAGTTACCGTATTGTGTAATGTTAATGGCCTTGTTGACCTAAATATGATAGTATATGGACTAATAAGGTGTTAGTCAAATCTTGCCTTTGCTATTGATTCAGGGCCAATCTTGTAAGACTCCTTTTCTGTGGTTTCTGTAGTTGCAACTTTTTCATTATAACTTCTAAATTCCTGTGTTGTCATGATGCTAGTATAAAACAGTGTGCAAAGATATGTTTTTATTGATAATGGAACTGCCCTTGTCTTTCATTTTTCATATAATCCTTTCCTAAGAGGGTAAATCACCCATATAACCTACGGGAGTGCAGTTTCCTAGTACTAGGTATGACCTTTTCTTAGGTTGGAAGTTTGAGCTGAGGTGACTCAGATAAGACACTCCTAGGTGCCAGTTTAGACATTCTAGGTATTTACTCGGTGAAGAGTACTAAATTTGAATGTTCACACGATGAAAAGGCACTAAGGTACTTGCAGAATTGTACTGATATTTATTTAACAGACATTTTTTGAGCTTTTGTGTAAGACACAAAAGAGACATGGTTCCTTCGTAGTGGTCTCAGTGAGGGAAAGACCATTACGGCTGTGAACAGTATTGTCCTGGATGAGGATTCTGCCAGGCGAGAAACCCTCCCTTTGATATTCTTCAGGTTTTGTTTGTCTTCTGATCTTTGTGCTCCCACCGTTTTAGACCCTTGTGCCTACTTGGTGTGAATAACCAACTGAAAACAAGACGAGTACTGTCTCTCAGGAGACCTAGGTTTTAAGCCCATGTGGGGTTTACTCCTGCTGTAATTGATATATAGTCAAATGTGATAAATGTCCAAAGTGTATAGCACTGGAGTGAAAAGCTGAGGCTGAGAATTAACCTAATTTTGAAGGCCTACTTTGCTACTTATTAACCACATAACTTTGGGCAAGTTAACAATTCCAAGGCTCATCTCTAAAATAATGATAAGAATAATGCCAACTGCATACGATTATTGAGAAAATTAAATGTAATAATATGTGCAGTATGTTTAGCACATGTTCTGATTGATGTGAAAAGTTCAATAGGTACAAATACCATTGTTGTGAAAATTAACATCCTGTGGCAGAAGATTTGGAAGCATCTTAAGTGTCTATCAACAGATGAATGGATAAAGAAGATGTGACATACACGCACACACTCACACACACAGTGGAATACTACTCAGCCATAAAAAAGAATCAAATTTTGCCATTTGCAACAACGTGGATGGACTTGGAGGGTATTATGCTAAGTGAAGTAAGTCTGAGAATCTAAAAAATACAACTAGTGAGTATAACAAAAAAGAAACAGACTCACAGATATAGAGAACAAATTAGTGGTTACCAGTGGGGAAGGGCAGTAGAGGGGTAAGGGTTTAAGAGGTGCAAACTGTTATGTATAAAATAAGCTACAGGGATATACTGTACAACACAGGGACTATAGCCAGTATTTTATAATAACTATAAATGGAGTATGACCTTTAAAAGTTGTGAATCACTATATTGTACACCTTTAATTTATGTAATGTTGTATATCAACTATACTTCAATTAAAAAAAAAAAATCTTTGCCAGGAGACAAATCCTGAGATGCAGGAGAGGAGTTTCCGATATTCGTACTAGTTGCCTATTAAAAGGAAAGCAAAGGTGATGATCTGTGCTTCAGTCCATAGAAGGGTCAGGTGGCCCTCAAGAGGCAGTCATCTAGTGAGCAGAGGAGAAAAGGGAAGGAACCAGAGTTCTGGTAGCATCTACAAAATGGATTGAAATGGAAGGGTAGTAAGGCCCTGAGTGCTGATAACATTGATGATTCATTCGGATGCTACTTAGAATATATCAAGTAAGATTCCCTAAATCATTTATTCTGTGATAATCATTTTACAGCATATGCCAAGGTTTCTCAACCTCAGCACTATGACATTTTAGACTAGATAGTTCTTTGTTGTGGTGAGGGCTGTCCTTTTGCACTGTAAAATATTTAACAGCATTCTTGAGCTCTATCTACAAGATGCCAGTAGCATCCTTCAAGTCATGAAAATCAAAAATGTCTCAAATAACCAAGAGGTGGAAACACTCAAATGCCCTTCAACTGATGAATGGATAAGCAAAATGTGGTATATCCATACAGTGGAGTATTCAACTATAATAAGGACTGAAGTACTTATACATGCTACAACATGGATGAACCTTGAAAACATGTTAAGCCAAAGAAGCCAGACAGAAACGGCCATATATTGTATGATTCTGCTTACATGAAATATCCAGAATAGTAGTTGACAAGGGTTTAGGGGAGAGAGTAATTGGGACTGACTGCTTAGTCATGGCGTTTCCTTTTGGGGGGATGAAAATGTTCGGAAACTAGATAGTGGTGATGGTTGCACAACACTGTGAATGTTCTGAATACCACTGAATCGTATAATATATATACTTTAAAATGGTTAGAATGGTGAGTTTTGTGTTATGTTTATTTTATCACAATAAAATGACAGAAAAGATGATCTGCATACATTGCCAAATGTCCCTTGGAGGGGAAAAATCGCACCCAGTTGAGAACCACTGGCCTGTGGCGAGAAAGAAGAATACCTGAAGGTGACTTATGGGGAACACTATACAATTTTTGTTTAAAAGCCTGACTGATACAAGAAATAAATTTGCAGAAAATAACGTACTGACTTCTTAAACTGGCTTGAAGTATCCAAGTGAACATATGAAGAGGCCTTAAAACACGAAGCATATAATCCCCCTAGCTCAGAGAGGGTTTATAAAATCTGGAGGTAGAGGAAATTGATGAACCTTTCAATATGCCTAATCTCTGCTAATATTCGGAAAGACCATTGCTTGGGGATTCTACCTACAGGGAACTAATAAAGCAACTGTGCAATAAACCATCTGATCTGGGTATGAACTGCAAAATACACAAATCATGACAGCTCTCAGTGTTCTTAGAATAGGTTAGGCAGTGTGAATGAGGAGAAAAAGGCTGTGACACTGACACTACCTCCAGATGGGAGCCCGTGAGAGAAGATCTTCCAGAGAACAGAAAGGAAGAACTGTAAAGAAAAAGAGTTGGAAAATATGAGGACTTGACACAGCTTTGAAGCAGTGTGACCCAGTAAAAAATTTGGACTCCATCAGTATATCCCATCACTCAAGCAGTGGTTTTCTTTGAAAAAATCAATTACAATAAATGGCCAAGAGCTTTGTGAGAAGACCACTGAAGTGGGAAGAGAAAACAAATTGGACTAAAGACAGGTTATAAGAGCTTTTGCCTGAATTGGCAACTTCTACTTCAAAGAAGAGAAGGATGAGAAAGCCATTCATTTTTACAATAAATCTGGAAAAGCAGTGAACCCCAAATGTCCCAAGAATTGGGAAGATTGGGAAGGATAAACCCTGACCTGGTTTTGGAAAAGAACAAAGGCAATGAATGTTTTCAGAAAAGGGAGTGTATCCAGGCCATGCAAGCTTTACACAGGATGACAAATCCTACAGCAACCATGTACAAAGTGTCTAGCTCAAGGGCTAGGAGGAAAGATATCCAGCTAGAACTGACTGCTTTAAAGAATACACTTGGAAAGCAGCTGCTCTAGAAGCTGTCGTTAAGGACAACACAAAGGCCATGGGTGTCTAACAGAGGGCTCTAGATCTGTAATCCAACAGTCTGTAAGGACGTAGCAGGTGGTTATCAGTGCCGGGTGATGGTCCAGTTCAATTGCCATGACAACCTCGAGGATGTGAAGTGAAAGAACATAGTTGACCTGAAGTGTAATGAGTGACTCAGCCATATGGCACATCCTAAAACAAATGTGGAATTGGGAGATTGGGATTGACATATATACACTGCTATGTATAAAATAAATAACTAATGAGAACCTACTTTATAGCAAAGGGAACTCAGTGCTCTGTGGTGACCTAAATGGGAAGGAAATCCAAAAGAGAGGGGATATATGTATACATATGGCTGATTCACTTTGCTGTACAACAGAAAGTGACACAACATTGTAAAGCAACAATACTCCAATAAAAATTAAAAAACAAAAAAGAAATGTGGAAGGACTCCCGGACACACAGAAGGACTTAAAAGGGTCCTGGCAGTAGCTCTGAAAATTGAGAAGCTGATGAATGTGGGTCTGATCACAATTTGGTGATGGTTTGTTTAACTCCCTTTCCTTTCCCCTCCTGTGGAAAGAGGAGCTGGGGCTGTGATGACTAGAATGACGCAAAAGGGAGAGAAGAGGAAAAAGAACAGCTTAATTAATTGTATGTATGTATGCACATTCATCCATGGAAGATTCAGAGATGTGCACTCACATCCTTCGTGCAGTTACTGTTTCATGGCCCTATCACATGGGCATTGTATTCACTGCTGACACATGTATTCCATGTTTCCTTCCCATTGGGTTCATTATTTTTCCAGATAGTTTGTTATTTTCCATTTTGGACAGTGAATATGTTTTTGGGGGTAAGAATGTTCACCCCAATTGTTTGGCCCACATTTTTAACTCTGCTTTACCTCTTCCAATAAAAGTCCCACAGCAATTCACAGATTAATGTCTCTGAACTATTATTTTTAAAAAGGAGATCAGTATCCATTAATTTACCAAATAATTCTATTCAATAGTTACATTTTTTTATTTCTTAACTGAAAATGCAACTAACTTACATACTATTTGAGGATAAATCTCCATTTTTCACTGAGATTATACCAAATGATAAAATGGAGGATTTCCCTTTCTCTCTCTGGACAGAATTAAAAGAAATCCTTTTCTTAAAAAAGTAAAATTGTTTAAAAAATACTAAAAAGAATAAAAAACTGCCTAAATGAAAGGCATAACACAAACATTTGAGAAATCAGTTTTCATTCTTAGTTTTTGCTACAGATTTTCTGAGGGTTGTTTAGTAATCACAGTGGTTATGAATAACTAGGCTATGGTAGGGTCTATGTGCTTGTAATACTTACTGGTTGTTTTAATATAATTACAGTTTTTTATTTTGTATGTGTTGAGAAGTAAAACAAGTGTCTTGTTACAAAAGGGTGTGCAGGGGAATCAGTATATATATCCGAAAAAAAACAAAAACACCAATTCGAAAAAGATACATGCACCCCAGTGTTCATAGCAGCATTATTTACAGTTGCCAAGATATGGAAGCAACCTAAGTGTCCATCAGTAGACGCGAATGGATAAAGAAGACGTGCCATACACACACACACACACACACACACACACACACACACACACACAATGGAATATCACTCGGCCATAAAAAAAGAATGAAATTTTGCTGTTTGCAGCAACATGGATGGACTTGAAGGGCATTATGCTAAGTGAAATAAGCCAGACAAAGACAACTACTATATGGTATCACTTATGTGGAATCTAAAAAATACAATAAACTAGTGAACATAACAAAAAATAAGCAGACTCACAGATATCGAGAACAAACTTAGGGTTACCAGTTTGTGGGAGGGATATGAGGATGGGAGAGTGAGAGGTACAAACTATTGGGTATAAGATAAGCTACAAGGATGTATTGTACAACATGGAGAATATAGACAATATTTTGTAGTAACTGTAAATGGAGTGTAACTTTTAAAAATTATATAAAAAAAATAAAAACAGGGACCAGTGTAGGGGAACATACTGAGGCATCTGAAGCAGATTCTTGAAGGAGAGACAAGCTCTAGATAAATCTAGAGAACTAGTAAACAAAGACCTCGGGGACACTGATTTGTCCAGGATTCTGTGAATAATCGAAAGTAACTCAGAGTATAAGCACATTAGAGGAGAATTTTATGCCTATAATTAGACACAGAAGACCCTTTGACCTAACTTCCAGGAAGTTACCTGAAGCTTGGAAACTGTATTTCTCAGCCTAAGGAGTGCATGTAAGTTTTATAATGGGTAATCAATGCAGGATGGTTCTGAATGATATTTTAAAACCTTGAATTGTCAATTGGATCTCAATAATGTTGGGAACAAATGTAATTAATTTAAAAAAATCGTTGAATTGATAAAAACAACCATCATGATTGTGAACTAAAGGGGAAAGTATTTAAAGATCACCGTGTTCCTTATCACCTCAGGCAGTATCAAAGTTCTTGGGTATTACAGTATACAAGCTGGTCATATGAAGGCATAACAAATATATGATTTTGTCTTATGTTGTCTTTTTCCCCAATATGTTAGTAATATCGAGCTTAATGTTCCTGTTAAGATATAATTTAAATCAGGTCTCAAATGGCGGAAATAACGGTAGACCTAGGATCCTCTACTTTGTTAGGTTATGTTGGAGTCATAGACTAATTTGTCTTGTCCTGTCTCTTCCTATCTGCTGAATCTTAGTTCTTGCCACATAGCAGGAGGAACAGCTCTAATATAGTAGGAAATTCATCTTGATCCCTACAACGTGGAAGAACTGTTCTCTAGAAAAAGCAAGCACAACTGTGCAGTAGGTAGGAAGGCAAGCATCAGTGGGATTCGCACAAAGCAACCCAGTACTGCACACTATGAGTAAAGTGTATTTGATTGTGGAGGTGTTAGTTTTTATATATAAATGCCTTCAGGTAATTTTGATTTTTGGTTTAACTGTAAAGAACTCTTGCAGTAGGCTCTGAACCAACTCCTTTTCTGTTTTTTTTTTCTTTTGTTTGGATGGGTAAATGGTTTATAACCATAACCAAATCGAAACCAGTCTCTGAAATTATGTGCTGCATAGTAGTTTTAAGTTTTGCTGGCATGAAATACAGGATTTATTCTGCTTTGATGGTGCTTATAACCTGATAATCTATTCCCAAGTCCTTGAGCATTAATAGATACTGAGTGTGCATTTTTGAAAATCTTAATTATCAAGTCCATTGGTTCACACACCAGTTGTCCTTTACAGTAAAGTTCAAATTTTTCTTTAACCATTAAGTTGCCATGGGTGTTTGTAGTAAAAAAAAGAAGAAAAAAAATTCTAAAAAAGCATTGAAGTTAATGATTTACCATTGTTCTAGTTATCTATTGCCCCTTAATAAGCCACCCTAAACTTAGTGGCTTGAAACAAAAACAAATAATTTTGCTCATGGATTCTGCGGGTGAGGTATTTGCATCAGGAATATTGGTGAAAGCTTATTTCTGTTGTATATTACCTGGGCCTAGGCTAGGAAGTATCAGAGGCTGTGGATGACTCGCACAGCTTGAGGCTGCAGTCATCTAAAGGTTTACTCACTCACATGTCAGTTGATACTACCTGTTGTGTGGACCTCAGCCAGGATTATTGGCTGGTGCACCTACACATGGCCTTTTGTATGGCTGCTTGGGCTTCCTCATGTCATGGTGTCATTGTTCGAATCTGGAACAGCTCCCCTGGGGAAGGGGAAAAAGGCAGAAACCTTATTGTTGTTTATGACCTAACCTCAGAAGTCACATTGTATCATCTCTGCAGCGGTCACTAGAGTACCCAATTTCCAGGGAAGGGAACATAGATTCTATTCCTTAATGGAAAGAGGTCAGTGATAACATTTTGTAAGAAGAGCGTGTGAGATGGAAGACTGTGGCTATTTCTAGAATGCTAAAACCTTTAAGCTAGTAAAACTTTTTTTAAGTCTAGTTTTCAGATATCCAACCAAATCTGAATTTGTTTTAACCCCAGAAGCCAGGAACACTTATTTGAGTACAGATATATCCCATGTCCTATAGTGTTTGTGCCTTTAAAAACTATTGTAAATTGTTCTTAAATAATGTAAGTATATTGTATAAATTATGATAAATAAAAATATTAATAATTGTACCAAGTAAGATGGATACTTAAAAAGAAACTAGAAGTAACTTTTTTTGTAAAGAAGATAAGCATTCCTGAGTTTATCTGCATTATAATAAGTAGGATGTTCTTTTTTTTAACATGTCTATGTATAATACACATACCTGGTAGCAATTCTTGGTTATTTCTTTGTAAATTTTGTGGCTAGTCTTTGATAAAGGTCCTTTCGATGCTAAGCAGTTACTAGGCTATTAAGTATATTCTCTATTCCTTTCCTTTTCTTTGTGCCTGACAGATCCGTGCAGTTGGCAGGCTAAAAAGAGAGCGCTCTATGAGTGAAAATGCTGTTCGCCAAAATGGACAGCTGGTCAGGACTGACTCCATGTGAGTAGAACCACTAAGCATTGTATCTCCTTCATTAAGTTTTCTCCATATACTGTCTGTCCCATCCTTTACTAAATAATTTATTTCCTTTTTTAAACTCTCAAATATTAAAAAAGAGGAGGAAGTGTATGTTTTATATTAAGAACCTGGAGAAAAAATAATTCTAATAGTGTTTGAAATCTACTATACATTTACATCAACTTTATATTTTTGCAATACTCTTTATAGCCTTAAAGTCTGACCATTTCGTTAGTTGTGAGAATTTTTCAATCCTGTTATCCTCTTCTATGTTTGTGATAGTCTTCTATAAATATGATTTGCTTATTTTGGAAATCTCCTATAAAGTATACTTAAGAAAAATTGATAAAAGTAAGTGCTCAGTTCTATGTAGCCTTCCAAAATGCTTATCTAGCATATAGGTTGTGGGGGGGGGGGAATATAAAATAAAAGGAAAACAATTTATTAAGGAAGCATCTTTATTTTCAAGTTACTCAGTTTGTCATAAGATTGTCACAGGATTAGCCCTTTCCGGCTCTGCTTCTCATGAGCCATGGTAAACAATGTAGCGTAAGCAAGTCGAATTTTTTTACTTTCCAGGATTAATTTTTAGCTCTCTGCCTACTGAGTCATTGAATTTTTGGATCCCTTTCATTTTCCAAAAATTTAAATACATTAACAGACTATTTGTGTAAATCTTTCTTGCTCTTTTGGTTACGTTATACCCTGATCTTAAAGCTACCCCACTATAAGATGTTTTAAATTGGGCAAGTGCTTTTTGTTGTTTTATTAAAATTAATGGGTTTTTAAAAATAAAATATCCCTTTAAAAACTGGTCAGAATTTTAAGTCTCAAAGCCATTGATGATTTAGATTGTTAATGTAAATTAATGTTTCTTCCTCATTAAATTTTCAGTCAGTTTTCATAAGCTCATTCACCATGAACCATATTTGATATCAAGCATCATATTAGCTTCTCAAACTGACTTTTTTTTTGGCCACACGGCACATGGGATTTTAGTTCACTGAGCAGGGATCGAACCTGCACTCCCTGCTTTGGAAATGTGGAGTCTTAACCACTGGACCACCAGGAAAGTCGATATTAGTTTCTCTGGGAACGGCCAAAGAATCAGATGATAAGTCTCTCACAGAGCTTGCAAATCTAGCTAAAAGCAAAACATTTAAATTTACATACAAAATAACTACAGCACAATGCAATTATACTATTTCTGTTAAACCATATCAAGTTCTAATTCAGACTTGACTAAAGAGTATAAGGATGCAGAAGGGATTTTGATGGGGGTAGGATCTCTCTTTTTCTGTGTTAGGTGCAAAGGAGAACTATAACAGTTCTCATTTCTTGGGGAAGCTTGAAATGTCTCCTCAAGTAGTTAGAGTTATTCTGAAGGGGTATATAGGAAGATAGTAAGTTTAAAAGAATATATGTCTCCTTCAGGGAAGGCCTATCTGAAAGGTTCAACTATTATTAATATGAAGTTTTTATGATAACTGTATGTTTCCCTGAAGGTACCTGGCTTACAGTGATGTCAGCCAGTCCATGGAATCCGTTTTTCTAGAATATATTTGATTATGTTACACAAATGGTGAAAAGATCATATAATTTATGGTGAAGGTAGCTTCTTGATATTTAGTACCCTCTCAGAATGATTAAACATACACCTGAGGGCTTTTGTTATTTTCTATTTGTAATACTTTCCAAGGCACCAAAAGTTTCTAATAAACTTTCCTATTATGTAAAGATATGGCTTATTGTTTAGGTCCATAATTACTTTGAAACTTCCCATTAGTGAAATAAAAACAGGACTGTTTTACTATAGCATCATTTTTGTTTTTTTGCCCCACAAAGTATATATTATTGATAGCTGAGTTCAGTTGAAGAGAAAGGAAACAGCTCTATTATATATAAAAACCAGCCTAGTGAAGTATGATTTAGAGTAAACGATTAGTTCATAGGTATTTTTGCAGTTACCTATAATGTAAGTCCTCATAACAGAAAAGGTTAACAAAGTTAACTAATACTTGAATTCTTTGTTTCTTTAAGTTGCCTTAATGGCATTTTTAAATAAAACAGAATCTCATGTTTTAATTTTTGGTAGTAAAAATAACATGAATATTTAACTGTACAATTTTTGCAATGAAATGCTTACATTACTCAACCATACTTTTTGTTTTAGTAGTTATTTATGTTACCGTTACATGGTAACATACTTAACCATCTTTTTGTTAATAATGTAACCTTGCCCTTTCTTCTCCTACCATTATTAATTTTATCATTTATAATTGTATTCATCTTTAAGAATCTACATTGAGTGAACTTTAGAATTTTAATATAATGAGCACATTATGTATTTAATGTAGGCAGTGTGGTAAGGAAGAAACTATTAATATAACATGGCTGTATTTTACCTCTACTAAAGTAATTATTAGACTCTTCCTGTCTTTACCTACTTTAGTCTTTTCTTTGTAACGTGAGATTACTTATGTATCATTGTGCACGAACCATTGCCTACCTCCACTTTATTTATTCCTTGGCTTTAAGAATAGAAGTCTATATGGGTATAAGAGCAGAAACATTGGCCTTTGTTTTCTTATTTACCTTCAAGAGACAATAGGATTGATTATTGTCAGCTCTTGACACAAACGATTGACCAGTAGAATCGTATTTAGCTTTCTGTTTGTGTTATAAAAGCTGAATATATAAAAAGAAGCATAATTATTATTTAAGGTGGCACAGATCAGATTCTGCCCCAAGAAATAAAATTTCAAGGTTCCAGGCACCAATTTCTGCACCAGAGTACACGTAAGATTTTATCTGCTCTGCTTTTCACAAATGGGAGTTGTTCTAATTTTGCAGGCTTTTTGTTATACTAATATTTCACCAGGTAATTGGCATGTAATGCCCTAATTCTCTTAACTGTTTGGCTTTTTAGTACCTCTGTTTCAGGATTTCTCAAGCTGTCATCATACACTTTGTTAAGAAAAAAAATAACTAGACCAAGGAAGTTATGTATGATTTTGGGTATAAGGCTGAAAGTAAAATGGAATAATTTACACCAAGCATCCTTTACATTTCCTTCATTTTGCTTTGGTTGGCACATTAGTCCTCTATAGATTCAGTTGAACGAGGTTCAGTGATCCCAATCTTTTTGAAAATTTTAGCATACTATCTTTTCTTGTTCATTTTCACCCAGAAGGACAAAGAGTCTGAGTGTAATTTGTCATTAAGTTTTTTTTTTAATTCCATAGATTAAAATTATGCTTTGGAAGAATATTTTGAGATCATTAAACCCACTCTTTCTGTACATGTGCTAGAACTAGGTGTGGGAATGACTGGCCTCCTAAGGGGAGGGGGCACTTTGGTGTGCAGTATAAGATTCAACAGCTAATGTAGTTCTTAAGTATCAGAAGCCACTCTGGCAACCAATGATTTTTCTCCTGTTCTCATTCTCTTGTTATGCTTCTAAGAACTAGTCAGTTACCTTAGTGGCAACAAATTAAAGCTTTCTCTCTATTTAAAATTTCAAAAGAAATGGTACAGATTTTGTGTTTCAGTGAGAATTTTTTCTCCCCCATTTTACTGTTTTACCTTTACTGTATTTTTGGAAGAGGCTGGACCCTCACCAAAGAGATTATCCTCACAGTTTGAGAAACACTGTTCCTATGACAACCCATGCAGAAAGAGGTGTTTGACTTTGGACTTACCTTGTAATAATGACATAGTTATGCCAAGTAAATCTTTTAAATTTGAGTTCTGACATTGGCTAGTGTTGTTTACTCAGCAGTTGTGTAGTAAAATTTCCTGTAAGCATGAGAGAGAGCTATTACTAATGAAATAGCATGGTAAATGTAAGTGCTTGCTTCAAAATGTCCTTACCTTTTTTTTTTTTTTTTACGGTACGCGGGCCTCTCACTGCTGCGGCCTCTCCCATAGCGGAGCACAGGCTCCAGACACGCAGGCTCAGCAGCCATGGCTCACGGGCGCAGCCGCTCCGCGGCATGTGGGATCTTCCCAGACCGGGGCACGAACCTGTGTCCCTTGCATCGGCAGGCGGACTCTCAATCACTGCGCCACCAGGGAAGCCCGAAAGTGTCCTTATCTTTTATGAAAGAAAGAGATAAAACAGATTTTGCTGTCTTATGACATTACTAGGATCAATTTATCATCAACATGCATTTTTATTAAATTACTAATATTATACCACCTGCTTAAATAATCTCAGTGCCTTCGCAATATGTTTACTTTTTAATTTTTCACAATAGTTCATGCGTCAAAACAAACAAAAAAACAAAAACAAAAAGTCAGTCTACTTTGGTTGGGTGGATGAGTGGACAGAGATGAAACTCAACTCTGAACTGTTTCCTGTCACAGTTGATTCCAGTGCTGGACATCCCAGCTAGTGTCAGACCAGTTGCTAAAATGGGGCTTATTCTTTTTCGATCTTAAATTTTTTTTTGAATTTTTGAATTTTATTTTATTTTTTTATACTGCAGGTTCTTATTAGTCATCCATTTTATACACATCAGTGTATACACGTCAATCCCAATCTCCCAATTCATCACACCACCACCACCACCCCTGCTGCTTTCCCCGCGTGGTGTCCATACATTTGTTCTCTACGTCTGTGTCTCAATTTCTGCCCTGCAAACCAGTTCATCTGTACCATTTTTCTAGGTTCCACATATATGCGTTAATATGCGATATTTGTTTTTCTCTTTCTGACTTACTTCACTCTGTATGACAGTCTCTAGATCCATCCACGTCTCTACAAATGACCCAGTTTCGTTCCTTTTTATGGCTGAGTTTAAATTTTTTTATTTGTAAAGAGACTTGCAAGACTGCTTAAAGCTTGAAGAAGAAAGAATTGCTAGACTGTTTCTTCTAATTCGGGTGAACTGTGGTCATCTTATGATTTAATCATTCAGTTCATCTGTAGATAGAAATAAATATTAACAATCAAGCGCATTTAATCTATACGTACACTGCCCAAAGTGTTGTATAAAATGCTTCCTACTCTGTTTTTGCTGTTTATGAAAGATTGCCATATAAATTAATGAAAAGTCAGATTTCTTACTAATCTTTGAAACGAATTTCTTTTCAGAAACAACTTGAAGTCCAAGTATGTTTTTGATATTAGTCTTTGATGAAATATCTTTACTAGTATTGATGAAGACTTAATTTAACTTTTATCTTTCTTCATAAACATGTTTTCTTATTAAGTTACAATTACAGACCATGTAGGATTTTTTTCCATTTACTACCATATTCCAGTTTTATGTGATCATAGAATCTTAGAATTGAAAGTGATCTTATAGACTGTTTTTATTTATTTATTTATTTTAAAAAATAATTACTTATTTATTGGCTGTGTTGGTTCTTCCTTGCTGCATGTGGGCTTTTCTCTAGTTGCAGCGAGCAGGGGCTACTCTTTGTTGAGGTGCGTGGGCTTCTCACCGCAGTGGCCTCTCTTGTTGCAGAGCACGGACTCTAGGCGCACAGGCTTCAGTAGTTGTGGCACATGGGCTCAGTAGTTGTGGCTCACGGGCTTTGTTGCTCCGTGGCATGTGGGATCCTCCCGGACCAGGGCTCAAACCCGTGTCCCCTGTTTTGGCAGGCGGACTCTTAACCACTGCGCCACCAAGGAAGCCCCTAGACTGTTTTTAAAACTCAGTCTTCTGTGCATTCCATGTTAAGAATTCCTTGCAATTAATCTGAAAATAATTTATGCTAGATGACCTGATTTCCTGTGCAGGGATAGGAAAAACTTGTACTTTTAGAACTTAAATAAACAATTCCTACTGCTTATTTCTGACAGAATGAGTTCTATCAAAGGAAGCCTTCTTTCCTTTTAAATTTTAATGGGCAAAAATGCATCAAACTTTTTTCATGGATTTGGATTCAGTTTGTCGGTGTTTTTGCTGTAAGATTATAATTCTAAATATTGATCATTATAGACTTTAATATGTATGTAGCTAATTTATTTACTAGTACAAAGTGATATGTGAAGTGTTCAGTTTAGCCCCAAAATACGAAGACAAATGCTTTAATTATATCAATAGATATTGTACTGATTAGTCTTTTAAAACTTGCTTAAGTATAAATTTATCCAGGTATGTTGGCACTGCTATCAAGAAGAGTGTAAGATGGATTGCCTGTTTATGTTGACGCAGACAGAACTGGCCACTCTATTCCTGCCTCTGGTGACACTTTTCTAACATGAATTCAGTCTGGTTTCTCACAAAGAGCAAGAGCTTCAGGTTTTCTCCATGCTGCCTAAAGAGATATTAGTGCAAGGCTAGTACCTAGACTTTGAGTCCCAGATACATGATTCTTTTACTCTTCTTGGATACCCAGTGTGGGTTTTGCCAAGTACCGTGGGTCAGTTGATAAGCTATATATATATATATATATATATATACGGTTGTTGATACGTTATATATATTACAGAAGATTCCTAGTCTGTGGACAGATGTTTAAGGTAACCATCCATGAGCCTGCGTCTGACAAATTGCATTTATCTTGACACGATTAGGCCTAATTCCTATGGTGAATCAGCCCTGACAGATTAATTTCTCAGTATGCCAAGATTTGGCTTCAATCTTTCTCTTTTAAGTAGTCTTTGGAAAACATGTTTTTCATGTTTATTGTACTTCTCACTTTGGATCATCAAGACGTTGAAAGTTATTCACAAAATTGTGGAGAAGATTTTGTTTTTAATTTTCTGGGACTCTGGGAATAATATTAGACTACAGTTACCCCTTCAAACATTATTGCACTTATTTTGTGGTTCCCAAACAAATACATGTTAAGTTAGAAAAGATTTACACAAATCAAAATAAAATCTTTTATCTTTTCAGTTGTTCACTGTCTGCTCCACTTTCACCCTTTCGTGCAGAATACACAAGGATGAGGTTTAGTCTAAGGCATTCTTGCCCTGACACTGAGAAAAAATATTGAGCCCACTTCCCATAGTCCTTTTGTAACAAAACCTCTTACAACAAACCAGATGCCAAGTCCATATATCAGCTAGATACCTCATATGGCTGATCATGCTCTAACATTAGACAGGCCTCTGAAAGTAAAGAGTTCTGGTTAGAATTGTAAAATTGCTTCATTCAAATGCTCTCAGCTTTTAGGAGGTGCTGTCAGGGGAGCCAAAGAAATTGTAAATCACAACTCACGTGTGAAAGAATGGTTAAGATCACTGTCACTGAGCAACCCAGAAATAGCCGTTTAACATCCATCCTTACCTTTTCATTGTATTCACAGAATTGGGAGTAGTTTTATGTTTTAGTCATTTAGCTAGGGAACATATGCTTTAATGTAATTAAGTAATCAAAATGCTTTTGTTAGCTTTCTGAAACTTTAATTCATCTTTAAATTTACTCGCTATAAACTCAGATTGCTTCATTGTCTTTGTGAAGTATTTGAAATGGCATTTTCATGGAATCACTTTGGATTCATGTGTGTAAACCTTGACGTCTGTATACCAGAATTCTCTATCTGACTGTTCTGCCCATCCATAAGTTGCAGTGCAGTGTTGTTTGTTAGAGGCTTGGTTTACTGAATTGGAATATACACACAAAGCAAAGAATGCCGCTTCTCCGAAGCTGGGGGTTGAATATACTCCTTGCTGTAGTTCTCTTCCCTCTTAAAGTTGTTCTTTCACATTCAGCTTGTTTAATTTGATGTTTAAAGCTACAGTTACAGATGCTGCATGGTAGCTGGTTTTTTAAAACAATTTAATATGTTTATTAACTTCTTTGGCTTGACTCTTGTGGGGGAAAATGAAGGGTGGGAAAAATGGGCAAGAAAACAATAATTCTTAAAATATGAGTTTTTGGGGAAACTGCTGAGCTGAAGTTTTATACAAATCTGACTTGAGTGTTTTTCTCTTCATTTGCTGTGCTTGTGTAAACAGTGTGACACCATCGCCACAACAGGTTCGGGTTTGTCCTCCCCGTATGCTACCTGAAGATGGAGCTAATCCTTCCTCCGCTCGTGGCATTTTGTCGCTTATCCAGTCTTCCACTCGTAGGGCTTGCCAGCAGATACTGGATGTGCTGGATGAAAGCCGCAGGTGATCGGCCCTGTGATTTGCGCCAACTTTACCGCCTGTCTTTCGGCTCCTCATGAGTGGACTGTGGTGTCTTCCTTTTATGTTCACGCCTTCGTCTCTTTCTCAGATGCAGCGGTTTAAAACAGCTTGCTTTGCTTTCTTTTAATTTGAAATTATTGTCCAAAATTCACATTTCACAAGGTTCTGTTAGCTTCTCTTCAGTCAGGGAGGGAATTCAGTTAATAACTAATTATACACGGGAAGTATAATGGTTTTTTTCCCAAGACTTTGTTGACCTTAAGTACCTGATTCCATTTTGGGATATGCTGAGGGGTACTTTTGGATTGAGTGTGCGATGTTGGACTGAACTGTACTCATTTTCTTCAGTAAGTCTTTTGATTCACTCATTTATGTTACTAATGTGGTTGGATTAGGAAGCAAATCTGAGAAGATGATATCAGTGTAGCTGCCAGGACATTTTTTTTCTTTCCTCTTAACTAGGGATTTCCACACCTGTACTGAAAATCCCAGGTGCTGTTGTCTTTTTAATGCTGATTTTTTTCAGTATGGATAGCGTATCTAACTTTTGAACATCTCCAAGTAAAATCATTAGTAGTGTATACTTAGACTTGTTCATTCAAATAAATTTTTTGCCATTATTTCAAATACTTTTTTCTCCTTGCTTCATTACTAGATGGTGTCTTAAAAAGATGGAATTTGGGAGCTTTTTTGGCATAATATGAGGAAGGTACAGTCAGTTTCACTTCAACTCTAAACATTTTATGTAGTAACTCTGTGAGTCAGTGTTTGAATTTTCATGATCATTTTTTAGACTGTTAATTTTGCATTTTGAAGAATTCCCAATAAATTTAGCTGGCCCTTCCAGTAAACCTTTTTTCTTACTTTAGGAACTGATATGTCTTATGACTTGCTCTGAACAAACTTCTTCTTATTAAGTGCTTTTGACCCTCACATAAGCCCCAGGTGTCTCACCTCCTGCTGCTCGACTAGTGTTTCTGACCCTTCCCAGGGCTCCCATACGTGTGGGTCCAAGGGCTTAAAGCTGTACCAGAAAGAGCATAAAAGAGAAAACTCATGGCAGGGGGAAAATTATATATACATCTATGGACATATGTATTCATGTATAGGTGTGTATGCATGTGTGGGCGTGTATATATATATCCCTCCCCAAAGGTTTAGAGTCCCTCTTATCTCTTTGAAGCTTCAAGGACTATCTTAGAATATTTGGATACTGTAAGAAGCATCATGGTTCAGAAGAAAAAACATGGATTGGGGGGGGGGGGCAGATTTAATCTTGATCCCCCCCACTGAACAGCTATAGCTACATGATGGCCTTGGGCGAATTGCTTAGCTTCTCTGGGCCTCATTTTCTTCATCTATTTTTTAAAAAGAAGGGTAATACTAATATTAACCTAGTTTTCTGGGTTCTTGTGAGGAATCTTCCCCCCTCCCCTGCTTTTATTTAAGATATAGGGATAATGGACTCAAATTCTTTATTTAGTGTCATGGGAGATCCTTAAAAAGATATTGAATATAAAGTACCTGGCACCTGACTAATATTTATTTCCAAAGCCCTGTTTTCTCCTCCCTCCTTAACATAGATTTATTCTTCACCAGGTATCCTCTTTAACTTTTTAATTAAAATAGGTCCTTAGAAGAGACTGGATTATTAGGTCAAATTACATCATATCAAATGCTATTATAGTGAAAATATCTGAATGAGAAAGATGTTTATAAATCCTATATAGATTAAATAATAGCTAGATGACAAAGCCCCAGTACGTTAAAATTATTTGTCCCATCCCCCTACATATACACAGTTCAGTGCAGTATATGGAAAAATAGTTGGATTTTTTTACTCCTTAATGGAAAAATTTTGCCTCAAGCTCACAAGTACAAAAATCTTCCTAATTATAAAATTTACTTTGTATTCTTTTATTTATAAAAAACTATTTTGAGCTTTAAGTGATTTTTTTAAATTGTAATAAATTGTTAACGAAAATTCCCTTTTCTGGGAAGGAAGTATCTTTTCTTATTCACTTAAATGAGATTTTTAAAATTCATAAAGTAGTTGTATTAATAATTCTTTGCTGCTGGATACACACCTTGGAGCCTGGAGGATTAGATTCTCACTAGTGTTATTGGATGCTTTCAATTTTGAAAGTTTTTTTTTCCCCCCGTTGCACTGAAATCTCTTATGATCAAATGTTCAGC